TGTGTTTAGTATATAATATTTATTACTAATTTATTTAATAATGTCGCGCTTTCTTACAAATTCATGACTTAAAAAACGTAAGAAAAAATTTTTATATCATCTATATATAGAAGATGTGAAAATATACCTTCATCTATATATAGATGATGCAAAAAAAGTCACACAACCCTTCATACCCTACTACTATTTTTCTTTCTTGATTTTTTACAAAATCTACTTAGAATTATGCAAAATATGACTAAATAATTATAAATTTCAAGTTAAATTTTAATTTTGATAAATAATTTAAATTTCAAAATATCAAGTTCAGTTCGACTATGTATGTAGTAATTCCTCAATAAAGTGCCAAAACCCTATTAAAATATATGAACATTTTCAACATTTTAATGTTTTTATTTAAAAATTTGATGGAATATGAGCTTCAAACAATTATTATGTAAATAAAAATAATTAAATATATGTATTTATTCGTATTACAACCGTAGTAAGTCGATTCTTCCTTTCTTCTACTGAGTTTTGAATTTGATTTCGAATTGTAAAGAGATTCAAAGGGAAAATACTAGCGGATAAAAACTACCTCCATGAAAGGGTCATAATGGAGTCAAGTTGTATTTTTTGATATTTTTTGCTTTTCGAGCCTAAATAGATAGTCAAGATAATGCCTAAAAATAAGGTTCTAAATTCTGAAGTTTACATGATCCTCTCGTGTGCACCCTTAAAAAAAATGCAAAAAAATGTAATAAAATAAAAAAATTTTTAGTATCGATAATCTGAAATATGTTGTTTACTTAAGCCGCTCGCTTCGCTCGCGGCTTAGTTTCGTAGTTTCATACAATCTTTTTTCAAATCTGTTCTTTTCTTAAGCCACTCGCTTCGCTCGCGGCTTAGTTTCGTAATTTCATACAATTATTTTTCGAATTTGTTCTTTTTGTCAACCGCGAGCGAAGCGAGTGGCTTTTTATTTTTTAAAATTTTTTTTTCTTTCTTACTTTTTTCCCCTTACTTACAAATTTGATAGTAACTTACCAAATCTCTCTATCATATAATAATAAAATAATCCATTTTTTGTTTCAAATCTGACAGTTTACATTTCTGACATGTAAACCCATCACTTTTCACTTCACCTCACTGGGCAAGTTTGTGCCCCCCTCTTCTTTTTGCATATTTGCAAGGCAGAAATTTGAAACTTCGTTTCAAATTTCTCAAGCTTGCATTCTGGGCACGTAAGTGCCCAGAATGCTAAAAGGCGCGTAGCGCCGTCTCTGAATATCAAATTTATTATAATTATTAATTTATGAAATTTCAAATAAAATCGATCTGTTATAACACACTGGTGCATGATAGCCTTGTCATTCATTTCTATCGGCGCGCGGAGCGCGCCGATAGAAATGAACGTGTATATATATATACAAACACCTGGACACATTTCAAAAAGCATTGTAGAATCTGATTTTATTTCTATATTTTATAAAATTAATATATGTTTGTATGGGAAATTCGGGAGATTCAAAACTCAAAAATTAAAACTCGATAATTTTAATATATCTAAAAGGGTAGTGGGGCTTCCAGGCGCGTTGCGCCCTCTAGCCCATCAAAAATTTCTGAGGACGAGCCAGCCGTTGACTTTTTTGTAGAGCACTCAAAATAGTATAACTTTGTCCGGACAAGTAAGGGTCTATCGTCGCTACAGGAAAAGTTACAGGCGTTCCAAGGAAGTATACTTTGAGAAGCCTTTTCCCCCTTATAGAATGAGATAGGACGGTTATTTTACAAAACTGACAACACTTTGACCGAGTAGTTTTTTGTGCTGAACAAAAAGTGTCATATAAACATCTGTCAAAAACCGCTTTTTAGCTTCACTTAAAATGCCACGTAAGCTACGTAAGAATATACGTAAGAGGAAGGGAGCATTGAAACATCCAATAGTAAAACTGACACCACAACAACAGTTGCAACAACAAATGATGAATGACCCCACTATGTTGCAACAAATGTCAAGCAACCCTATGCTTTTAAACCGAGTTATTGGTGCACAGAGTGGAGGTTTAAGAGCGGCACTTTTAGCGAAAATGGCAGGCTATGGTGGAGCTGCAGACGGAACAGCTTATAACCCTCAAAGTCAAATGAATTTGAGTTCACTCAAAAATCAAATAACAGATGTCAAAAAGTCAAACATAGACATACAGAAACAAATAAGTGAAAACGAAAAGAAACTAGAATATGACAGACAGACAAAGAAACTCAATGAGTTAAACGTAGAGAAAAAGAAGAAAGAAGAACAACTGAAAGAACTAAGTACAGAGGAATATGCGAAAAAGTGTCAGAAAAAGCAGCAGAAGTAGCAAAAATGGAACAAGATGTTATAAATTTGAAAAACCATACTACTCAATATAAAGTACTGAAAGATGAAGAGATAAAACAAAAAGCCCTGAAGACATATATGGATAGCGATGAGTATAAAAAGAAGTTGAAGCAAATGTAAAGGCAGAAAAACTTTTACAGTTGCAAAACCAAACCGTACAGTATGAAAACTTAGCACAAGAAAGTAAAAATAACGACGCAGCCATGCAAAAGGCAATGAAAAGCGCAGAATATATAAAAGCTAATAATGACTGGTTAGATGCCCAAGCCAACGCTAAAGCAGCCCAACTTATAGGGTCAATAAGGACAAAAATACAAGCGGATGAAGACAGTTCAAATGAAGCTTTAATGAATGCTGACTTTAAGAATGCCTTCGAAGCTCTTCATAGTAAGGTGAAACTAGTGAACGACTTCTCATCTGGAAAGAAACTGAAGTCTGAAGGTTTCGACAAAGAGTTAAGAGAAGTAGCACAAAATATGACGAAAATAACAGATGCAGCAACGAGACAGGCAGTTCAAAGTGCCTATGACGCCGTTAGAGCAACTGTTGTGGAAAGTCAAGAAAAAGAGTTACAACAGACCAAAACAGACCTAGTAAATGCTTTCTTAAGAACGAAAAGTCAGGTAGGACATTATGCTGCAGATGGAACATATGTGCCAGCTGGTGGAACTTATATACCACCAAACCCTCCAAGAGAAGCACCTGCACCAGGACTACCTAAAACATTTACATCGTCACATGGACACAGACACAGGCATGCACCAAAACCAACACAACAACCAACAGTTCAAAACCCTGCACAACAACCAACAGTTCAAAATCGAGCACAACAACAACAACCAAAACCAACAGTTCAAAACCCTGCACCACAACCAAAACCAGCACAACAACCACCTCCACAACCAGCACAGCAACCAACAGTTCAAAACCCTGCACAACAACCAACAGTTCAAAACCCTGCACAACAACAACCACAAACAGAGCAAGGACATAAAAGAAGTAGAGAAAACGGAAACCAAGAATTCTTAAAAATGCTTAAGGAAGATTATGGTTACCCAGATACTCTTGACTTTAGTGACAGATATAAAGAAGCTATTAGAAAATTCAAGGAAGGAAATACTGACCCGAACCTATTTAGCTTTATGGCTCAGCATAAAATCGGATATAATCTCAAACCTGGAAAATACAAGCTCGCAAAGGGATATGATTTAATAGCATATCATCCAAATGACATGAATGAATTTACTCCGAGATATTTGATGTCAGAGCTAAATGATAATTCAACTCTCTTCATGAAACGCGTAAAAAATAGAGACGGAACGAAAGAAGAAAGGTTTATGAGTCGGATGACTTAGATAGGGAACTTGTTAAAAACGGTCTCGGAATATATGAAATGCCAGCAGATGAGGTACAAGAAACTCAACAGGAAGAAGTTCAGATACAACCAGACATGGAAGAAATAGTTCAGCAACAACAGCTAGAAGAGCCTGAAGGAAACGAACAAGTCCCTCTTTTGGAAACTAACTTCACAGAACTAGATGAAGATTTGGAACAGCCGAAAAATCTTGACCCTCAACAAGTGTATGCGGAGAATATGGAATCTTTCCAAGAGTCTAAGAAAAATTCGGCTGACATAGTAGAAGAATATCGAAAAATGTTCACCGACATACAAAAGACTCCAACATCAGATGAAAATATTCAGCATAGAATGGAAGTACTGAAAGAAAATGTACGCAAATACAATAATCCTTTTTACTTACGACCATATAACGTTCAATCTTTGGCTGAACTCGGTGAAAATAAAAGGTTAAATTTCAACAAAACATATAGAAATGAAACATTGTTTAAAGTTCATTCAGAACCTAACCAAGATGGAAACAAACCTACTTTTGTTTCTGCAGACTATGGAACTACAATGAGATGGGGTCATAAAGCTAATCCGGATAGGTGGTTCATAAACTTACAACCTCAATTCCAAGAAGTTGTAGACGCAATGGAAGTGAATGGTGAACCAGATATAACGGGTATTTTCAGCGCGGCTTTAATGCCATTGAAAGATATGAAAGATGCAGATATTTTGGACCAGTATGAAATGAACATGGCTGAGGGAAATATAACACCTGACGTTCTAGAACATTTATCTCAAAGAACTACACAGAACCATAGAGATGGTATATTTGGTGAAGAGTTTAGAAAGAAAGTTAGGGAGAGAGAAGGAAGAGAACCTATTGTACATGACCTTGCAAACGAAAGTTTGCAAAATGTCATAAAAACTTACTTTGCAGACAATGAACTGAGAAGGGATGAATATTTAAGAAAACTCAAATGGACAGTACCAAATGAAATGTTAGTATTGAAAAACATGTTCCTTGACAAAATAAAACCAACTACAGAAATAAATGACGCAAGACTGAAACGTTGGGTAAAAGCTTTCCCATTCACAAAAGATATTATTGGTTACATGGAAAGAAAACCAGAATGGCTACAAAAACATATATTTGGAAACGAGCTTATTCCATATGGACAAGCTCTGTTTGAAGAGCTTGAACCGGAAACTCAGGAAAGAGTCATGCAAACAATACGCGAAGACTCAAATACAAACTATGACAAAATCTTTCTAGGATATAGGTTACCTGAGATGGGCGACCAGAGCCCAAAGGCAAAAAGGACATGGGAAATTTACAACATACTAGGTGAACATGAGGCAAAGATGCAACAACTTGAAGCAGAGGGCAAGTTACCAAAAGCGACACCAAAGAAGAGAGAAGAGTAGAACAAAGTGAAAGTAGTGAAGAAGTAACTTCATCTAGTGAAAGTAGTGGCAATGAAGGAAAAAGAAGAGTTAAAAACTCAGTCAGGAAGAAAGTAAAGCTTGGTCCGAGTGGGTTCTATTATGACACATAAATCCAACTATTCTATATTTTTACCCATATGAAATGTACGCCGCTCAGAATATAACGCCAACAGTTTTGGATGCCATGAACGGAAATGTTTCCGAATGGTATACCGAATGCGACAATGCCATTAGAAGGTCAGAAATAGTTCCTGGAACTTACGAATATACAACTGCTGTTTCTTATGGAAACGTAGGTGAGTTTGGAGAAGGTTCTTCAACAACAGTAGATATTGCTTGCGACAGGTTTCATATTATTTCTATTGACAACTCATTCTTATACGTGGAACAAGACATTGAAATAAAACCTTCTGCCAAGTTGTCTGACAAGAAAGGTTGCAATGGAATTTTCTATGTCGGATACCAATATGCTCCAGAAGTTTTCATGGGATATAAGATATATTCTAACTCTGACTTAGTTCAAACAGTAACATGGGCAAACTATGAATGGTTCGCTTTGAGAAACTCAGTACAACCACAAGCTAGAGAACAAACAGACCAGTATGCAACTATTGAGAAAATAAGAAGACTTGACCCTAACGTTCCAGGAGTTTATGTTAACCTTTCTGGTTCAGATGGAACTGCTGCCACTAAAGTAAAACTGAAACTTAGAGTTCCTTTGTCATCTTTCCTCATCTTCAGGTTTTTAAGATACTTACCAAACTGGGCAGGAAAAATTTCTATTGAACTTACTCCAAGCAAAAATAACTTAGTCATTGCACCAACACAAGACCCATTCACTATTACAGACGTAAAGGGAACAAATCAAACGTCATTCGCCGAATTTTGCAAAGACAAAGTTGACTTAGACTTTGGTTTCTCAAACTTCAACAATGAAGTAAACTATTATTTCAATGCTGCTGGAACTGCTTGGGACCCAGTTAAGTTCACATGCGAACAGTTTGAATGCAAGAGAATAGAAAGCAGACTTGCAGTCTATATGTTGGACCCAGATATTTCAAATGCTTTAGCTGCCAAATATATTGCAGTTCCACTTATGTTCCCTATACACCAAATATCTGTCAAAGACTTTGCAGGTGAAGTTGGAAACCAAAATCCAGGAGCCGCAGGTGCAAGAACAGATATTGCTTTAACAACTGCAATGAAACATGCAGATACTATGTTTGTACTGTTCAGACGAACTATAAATGACTATTCTTGTTTCTACAACCCTGGTATTAAATATCATATAAAACATAGATGGCAAATATTATCCAAGAGAAGAATATTCTACAGTTGAGGATATGAGGTCATACAACTTGACATTAGATGCTATGAACTTTAACAACAATTTCACAACAACCATTAACCCTGAAATGCAAAGTTCTATTATGCCATATGTGAAAGTATGTACTCATACAGGAGGTCAAAAAACTCAATATACAAATGGAGACCGTTCAAACTTTTGGCTTGGCATTCCATTTGCTGACTCAGAAGACTTTATGGTGGTATTTCAACTGTTGGTACTGTACAAATACAATATACTGGTGACAGAGACGGTCCAGATGAATTGAGAGCAAAGAAGTTTACAAAACCAATAGCACTTTTCACGGAAGATGCTCTTTTGAAGATTCGTTCGATGAAACCTGCTAGGGCTCCTCAGATTGGCATAACGACAGCTTCCATCGAGCAGATTTTGGCAGCAGGTCAGTAATTTGTTCTTGAACTAACTTCTCTCCGTCAAATATTGACAGTACGCCAGTTTTGACATAATATTGTATTATAAACTTACCTTTAGAAATATCTGTAAGTTTTGAAGTTATATTTTTGTCTGCTTCAAGAACTTTCACCATTTCAGTTTATACCAACTTTCTTTGCTTTATGAAAATATTTAGGTTCAGCAAAGACTGCTATTCTATAACATTTTCCATTGTTTGTGTAAAGAACTATTCTGTCAATGTATTTGTATTGTTTGTGAGTATAAACTTTGTTCTGCTTCAATTCAATAAGATATCCGAATACGTCAATCTTTTTATTCTAAGTAAAATGTCATTTCCGAAAAATAGAAGCGTAAGTGTTTCAAAAGGTTTAATGGCGGTGGCAGATGTGAAGTTAAATTCACCAACTCAAACAAACAGTCAAAGTGTTGTTGTCAATGTCAAAGACAGAGATGTTGAAGTGGGGAAACCATACGAAGACGAAGATGGTATAACAATTGTTCCTGTAAAAAACCAACATATCCTGAAGTTAACAGAGGCTTAAGTTCTGTTGCAGATATTCGAAACGACTACCAACAACTGAAAGACAAACTTCAAACTCAGGAGAAGATTTGTCAAGCTTTAAGTATAATGTTAAACTTGGTCGAACACAACCCTGTAAAAGTGAACTCATATGTCATTGCACCTCATGAAGTTTTGAAAGAACTATTGAAACTTTTGACAGAGGCAGACGATATAAACATCAAAGAAATAGAACCCGACATTAGTTGCTGTGGTGTTTCATATAATGTCATTGACAAGATATACGTTATGAAAGGAGGTGAAACGTTGAACTTAAAATATAGTTTCCCAGACGTTATAAAATATTTGACGACCACAACATTTCATTAAAATTTATTTGCTAAGTAAATGGCAGAAGACATAATGGTTTATACTATTACGACTAAAAACCCTGAGTCATATAATTCTATAACAACAAAACTTACAAAAGTCCTCAAGGACGATATTGTAAACTAACCTTAAACACAATGACGACTAAAGCCTGTTTTGCGCTTTTGACACCAGAAGACTTTATTGTTGTGAATGGTAAAAAATACTCCTTTGAAGATACTTACTCAGATATACCACCAACAGGTTTTGTTGACTTATTTAATACTTTAAGTACGGGTGTAAAATGTGCTGCAACTAGAGCAGGTTTCATTATGTTTGGATGTCCGACTGAGTTTACTATAAACGATATGAGCTATAATACAAAAACTTATTTCTGGTTTTTACTACCAACAGTTTCCTATAACAGGAAAAGGTGTCATACAAGGAATGTCTATTCCATTGACATTAAGCACACCAATCTTATATATTGTTTTCAAACTTAGGTTCAAAGTGTTATTCGAAATGTCGACAGAAACTATTATGACCAAAAGATACTTATGCGTATAAACAATACTTTCTCTGCTGGTTTGCCTATTGTTCATTCGAATGCAGAATTTTCAACCTTATGTGAACTCAAACACTTTTGGCAAGTATAACGTTGACATTAGTTGACGCAAACTTTGTTCCTGTAAAACTTTTATGTCCTATGTTTTGTCAATGACGGCAGAAAGTTTCGAATTGGAAGATGCAACTGGTGAAAGTATTGTATTACAAGAACAACTTCACAAACAAATAGCTCAAGAACAACAAATGCAAACAAATGGAACAAATGCAACAACAAAGTCAAGAATAAAAAAATATTATTTTTTAATTTTTATAAAAATGTACAGAATAGATGTTTCAGATTTTTATGACTTCCAAGCATTCAGAAATATGTGTCCATTTAGAGACTATAACAAAGCAGTCGAGAATTTGAAACGTTTAGTCATTTATGTCGACTCTGCCCCAGAATGTTATGTTATGAAAGAATGGGATGTTGTCTTTAACAAACCAAGAGCAACAATAGTGTCTGAACAAGAATGTAGACAGAAACTTAAGAAAATAAAAGTCGTACAAGTTGGCATGAAGATGTTAGATGCTTGGGATATCTTATTGTCAAAACTTGAAGATTTTTCAGTTCGTGGTATAAAGTTTTATACACCTTCTCCAAACTTCTATTCTATCTTCACTGGATATAAATATGAACAAGTAGAATGAAAAGAAAATATTATAGAAGCTTGGTTAGACCATGTCAAAGAAATTATATGCAATGGAAACGAAAGAGTCTATATGAGTATATCTTATGTTGGTTTTGCAAACATCTTACAACATCCAAGTGCTAAGAATGAAACTGCTCTCATTATAATTGGAAAACAAGGAACAGGTAAGAACACATTCTTTACAGATATCTTATGCAAACTATTAGAAGGTTATTCGAACCCTAATATGACAAACTTAGAAAACATCTGTGGCAAGTTTAACTCTTCTATTGAGAATATGAAACTTATAGTTTGCAATGAACTTCAAAGTATAGATACAACAAAAGTTTTTGAACTCAGATGCTTTGAAGAGTCTTATAACAGATAAAGTTGGAGTTGTTGAAAGAAAGTATAAAGACCAAAGAGTTTTGTGAGAATGTTTGCAAACTTCATTATGGTTTCAAACAATGCTGTTCCGATGAAGTTAGAAAGTTCTGACAGAAGATATGTAGTTGTCAGAACGTCAGATTCTCATATGCAAGATACTGAATATTTTGACGCTTGTCAGAATGTTTGACATCTGACTTTTACAACCACTTGTTCTCATATTTCATGACATTAGATATTTCTAAGTTCAATCCAAGACAAATTCCACATACCGAAGAGAGACAAACATTGTTAGAAGCAAACAAGAGTGTATATGAACTGTTCATAGAAGAAAGCGACTTTGAGTGTTTAGATGAAAAGTCTTTATATGATGAATATAAACAATATTGTCAAGAATATGGTTATATGGCAGCTTCTAAACGTACATTCTTGGCAAATGTCAAAAGTCTTTTAGACGTACAGAATGGTGTATATACAAAGAAAATTTTTTCTGAGTAAATTTTTAAAAAAAATATTTTTTTTATCCGATAGAAAATGACGAAATATATTTCAGTAAACAAGTACATGTCAGGACTTAAAGAAGAACTAGACCCATTCACATATTTGAATGTTTACTTCTACCATTTTGAAAAGTCTTCATTCAGCAAAGTTTGGAACATCGAACCAGTTAAGTTTGCTATTGTGACTAAAAATGGTGCGAAATTTGAAGACTTAGACATAGAAGGTTTGTTAACAGTCAAAGAAAGTTTTGACAGAAGGTTCTCAAACCTTAAAGAAGGCAAAGCATACAAACTTGTTATACCTTATGAACCAAAGAAGACAGACGACTATGAATATTATGAGTCTAAAGTTGTAGAAGTTCAAGGTAAATTGGGTAAAAAGATTTTAGAGTCTAAGCCAGTGTTTACTCCTAAAGAGGAAGAGAACATTGACATTGACCCAGAAATGTTCTAAAAATAAAATTTTATTTTTACATGTCAAATTTCTTTTTCTCTGGAACTGGTTCAGGTTCTTTCTTCTCTTCTACTTTTTTCTCTTTCTTTTCTTTCTTCTTCTTCTCTGGTGGAGATATGTCAAATTTCTCAGAATCATATCTATGTAAAAGTTCTTTGTCCTTTAATAGCTCTTCTATTCTGTTTTCTATTTCATCTTCAAGAAAAGCGCATGTGTCTTCTTTGCATTCTAAGAACTTTTGTTGGACTTCATCTTTCCAAGAGGCGTCATCTCTGTCAACAAGTCTGTCATTGACAAACTTAAAGACTTCTCTGCCTAATGTTTTATGGTTCTTGTCATATTCCCAGAAACAGAACTTTAGAACAAATTCACCTTTCTTGTTTACACTATGTAAGAGTTTATGGTCGACAGATGTTTTGCTGTCGAAAAGCTTGTCTCGAATATAGATAGCGAAATCGCTAGACATTTTCTAAAAGATAAAAATTTTAATTTTTCTAAAAATATGTTAGAAAAAAAGTTTGCTGACATTGACAAGAAATTTGAGAATGTTTTAAATAAGAACAAGGTGAAGTTAGAAAATGCTCAGATAAAGCCTATACATGACAAGTTCTTATTTGCTCAGAATGGTATAACAGGTCTAATTGCACCACCTGGGTCGGGTAAGACTTTCACTTATCTTAAAATGGCTGCACAACAACAAGAACTAGATGAGAAGAACCCATTCTATGAGTTAGTTGTTATTTGTTCGACTTCTGGTCAATTTGACCAAACCGTCAATTCGTTCAAAGATATTATAAAGAAGTCTAAGTTAGTATGTATAAAGGATACTGAGTTGTTAGATTGGATAAAGAAGTACCAAAGAAGAGTTTTGAAGTATAATGCTATAAATGAGTATATAAATTCTAAGTTCAAAGACCCTAATGAGGAAATGCAGAGAATATTAGAGAAGAAACACTTCAGAAACAAACAGAAAGAGATAGAATACATTTCGAAGAAATTGCAATCTTACGATTGCAAGACTACCCTCATAGGTGTCTTCTTATCTTAGATGATTTCGCCTCTCATCCTTTGTTAAAGAACAGAGAACAAGATATGTGTCGAATTCTTAAGAAGCTCAGACACTTTAACATCTCAGTTGTCATTTGTGTACAGACAGCAAAGAGTTTAAGTAAGGATGTTAAAAGAATACTTACTGACATAATACTTTTCCCCGGATTGTCCGAAGACGATTTCATGGAACTTATGAAAGAGTCCATGGCAGGTAAGTTTGACAGACATGAACTATGGGAGAAGTACAAAGTCAGACAAGACCCTCATACTTCTTTCAGAATTCATATCTACGCAAACAAAGTTCCAATTGTAAAAAGTCAATAAAAATAAAGAGTGCATCTACCCTACTTGTTTGAAGTTGTCAAAATACTCTGTTATTTTTTCTTTCAGTAATGTTAAGTCTTCTTTGAATGTAAGTATTGTACAACCTTTAATATCATAGTGTGTTTGAGGTAACGTATCTTGAACTATTTGTTTCACATCTTCATTTGGGGTCATTGAAATCGGTAAGTTTTCGCGATAGAACCAATTTCTGTCAGATTTGTAAATCTTAGCAAGGTCGTAAAAGCTTTTGTTGTTTCTTCTGACTAAATGCAACATAACCATATCTCTGTCTTCTTCTTTCTCCAACTCTTCAGTATAAATCATATACTTATAACTCTTTTCCTTACCTTTTGGTACCGAACGTGGTATTCTTTTCTGAAGACTTCATCTTTTGCTTGAAGTTTCTTTTCCATCTCTTTTCTCATTTCTGTATGTAAATCGTCAAGAAGTTTGTAAATATTCCAAGCATAACGTGGTGAAGCCCACATTGCAACTGCATTTACTAATAGTCTATGTACATACCAACCTCTCAAACCATTTGGCAAATTTTTACGATTTTCATGAGTTTTAGGCGACCCCGAAAAAAGTCGGTCTCGCTGTGCTTCGCTCAAAAGTTCTTGTGTGCTTTGGTTTTTGAACCAATCGTCTGTATGTTTGGTATCTGGAGAAAAACAAGCCGTCAAAATACTTTGCATTTGGTACATATCGTCTTTGACCGAACGAATTAGACGCAATTGTTTGTTATACTGTATGTACTCGTATTCTTTCATTTATAGCTTCATGGACTATAACTGTTGTTGTGTTCTCTGTTGTTGACATTACTGTCTTTACATACAAAATAAAAAAATAAATAAAAATAAAACTAACTTTATTTTTTCTATCTTAAGGAAATTCATGATTTTTGTGCTGAATTCAATAAAAATAATGTTTAGGTGAAGAGGTGAGATTTCACCTCTTTTTTTCACCTCATTTTTCACCTCATTTCTACCCCAGTTATTTTATAAACGTTTTACATGGTAAACGTTATTTTTTAAATTTTGTGAAAACTCAACGGTTTGACACATGCCCTAAAAATTATTTTACTCAGAATTTTGTTGCTGAATTCAATAAAAATATATTTTAGGTGAAGAGGTGAGATTTCACCTCTTTTTTCACCTCTTTTTTTCACAAGCGTTTTACATGAATTGTACGATGTATATTTGAAATCCTAAACAATTTCGTAGCTTCTATTTCTTCGCTGAGGATATCAAAAGTTTTAACAATGCCGAAGGTTTCTTTATACTTCTTCTTGACGTCAGATAGAAGGAAATCGTCAGCAGTTGGATAGTTTTTGTTCAGAAATGACAGCATGTCCATTTTATTTTCTACCGGCTTCTCTGCTTCTTTCTTTAAGTCAGCATAGTCGTTTCGCATACGTTCTATCTCTTTGACGGAGTAGTTATATTTCCTCATTGCTGCTTTACATTTAGAACATTGCGGATTCATTTTTGCGTTATATTCTGAAACCTTACCTGCTAAAACAACCAAGGCGTCAATGGTTTTCTTTAAATCTGAAGCAGTTGGTTTTATCTGTTCATTCCATACCTTACCTCTTCTATCTTTATCTCTTATCTGCCATACACATTTTGCAGCTAATGAAACAAAGTTGTCGTATGTCTTAAACCCCCCGATTTATATATGTCAGAGATGTTCTTATATACCATGTCGCAATCTTTGTCCATAACTTTATGGTTGCAATGATATCCTAGAAACTCATAATTTACCTTTCGTATGAACTTCTTTATTTCTACTGAGTCAGTTGGTTTCACTTCTATTTCATCGAATTCAGGAATAGTGAGCTTTTGTTGTTGGATTTCAGGTAGTTTAGGCAAATGGTCGATGAGGTCCTCCATTTCATAAAGATACTGTTCATTTTCTTCATCCTGTGCGGTACAGTCTAAATTACTTGTTAAAAGTTCTTGCTTTATTCTTTGTATTTCTGTTTCGAAAGTAGATGAAGAAGGAATGAAGCTTTTCATCTCTACTAACATAGATGTTGGATTCATGACTAACGAGTTTGGTGCTGTTGTTTGAATTGTTGTTGTGCCGATTGTTGACATTTCTGTTCTTTTATACAAAATAAAAAAATAAATAAAAATAAAACTAACTTTATTTTTTCTATCTTAAGGAAATTCATGAAAATTCAAGAGGGTAGAAATCGGGTTAGAAATCGGGTTAGATCTAACCATCTACCCTAAACATTATTTTTGCTGAATTCAGCAACAAAATGAACGAGGTCAGGATGTATGTAAATACCTTTGAATTCATTTATAACGCCCTTAGTAAGCTCATAAAATGCTTGTTTTGAGGTCGAGCCACTTTTGGCTCCACCGTATTCTTTCAACCAAAACTCAAGAATTTCCTGCATGAATTTTGTATAAAAAGCAACCGCCGGAATTCAGACTGTTGCTATATTCTTCACAAAATGCCTTATAATACTCTTCCCAGGACTTATTTTCCAACAACTTTCTAAAGTCTTTCCTAAACTGACTGACTGACTGACTGACTGACGGCACAAAGTGGCTTAACGAAAACATTAATATATAAAATTCATGAAAATTCAAGAGTGTGAAAAAACAGGTGAAAAAACAGGTGAAATCTCACCTCTTCACCTAAATTATATTTTTTGGTCCGGGAACAACTTTCTCTCAATTGGAGCTGTAGCATACTCTTTGCGTAAGCGGGTCAGACCTTCTTCGAAGTCTTGGTCTCTCTTCGATTGAGATTGGAATTGGAATTGCTGAGGTGGAGCTTGCTGGAACAACCAAGGGTTGGGGAAGTAAGGCATAGGCTGAGGAGGGTAGTTCGGGAAGCCTTGTGGTGGGTAGTAACCTTGAGGTGGAAATTGGTAGTAATTCGGAGGAACTTGCTGGAACTGAGGTGCAGGGGCTGGTGCTTTAGGTTCCTCTGGTTTGGGAATGAACTCGGTTGGTGGGACGTCGGACATTGTCTTGAAACAGTACAAATATTGTTCTGAAGCAGTGCAGGTCTTGTTCTGAAGCAGTGCAAGTCTTGTTCTGAAACAGTACAAATATTGTTCTGAAGCAGTGCAAGTCTTGTTCTGAAGCAGTGCAAGTCTTGTTCTGAAAAAGTGCAAGTATTGTTCTGAAAAAGTACAAGTATTGTTCTGAAACAGAAAATTTTTCTCACAAATTGAGAGCTTTTACTGGAAATTTGTTCTGAAAAAGTTCAAGTCTTGTTCTGAAAAAGTTCAAGTCTTGTTCTGAAACAGTACAAGTATTGTTCTGAAAAAGTACAAGACTAGTTCTGAAACAGTACAAGTATTGTTCTGAAAAAGTACAAGACTAGTTCTGAAACAGAACAATGGACAACATCGAGCCATTAGATGAGGCAATTTACCTTATAGAGATAAATGAAGTTGTTAAGCAGTACTTGGGCAAGGACAAAGCCAACAAGTCCCTCGGCTTCTGGTTGTCTGGAAGAGGTGCGCTGAAAATCGAAATTGAAACCGGAATTCCAATTCAAATACCAGAAAACACTCCTGTAGACGACATAAAGGAGATGAAGAAAGAAGCTCTTCTCAAGTTCTTTGCAAAGCGCCCATGGATACAACTTCCAAACAGAGAGAGTCCAATTCCACGAATTATACAAATTCTCAGAGCACTGTTCCACTTCTCGGGTCAGCCGTTCTACATAACCTCAGAAGGCGACATCCAACCAGTTCAGTAAACCTTAACGTTTAACTTCACTTTTTTATGTTTTTTGTGAAAGTGTCAAAAATAAATTGTTTTCATGAGTTTTCTACGATGTTAGAAAAAATGTTATTTTCTAATATCTTCACATTCAATACTTTTTCAGCACTTTTCCGTAGTTATATATGAAAGACAATTCGAGATAAAAGTCATAGTACAATGGAATAATATGCTGCACACCATTTATTGTGAACCAAACTTGAAAGTCAGAGAAACTGTTACTAGGTGGTTCGTAGAATTTAGAAGCAAAGTCATAAAGGTCCTTACCAATACATAGAAAACTATTGTTGCTTGAACTGAAACTTGCATGACACATAACATTTTGAGGGTCAAACACGTTTCTATAAACCATCAAATCTGCTGGTGGAAGTATAAATTTAAATGGACCATCTGGTGGTAATGGTTCGTTCTGGTTTAGTAACCGAAGAAATTGTGCCCAAGAACGTTTGTCTACTTCCCAAAATAAAAACTCTGTATCTCTTGGAGGGTTAATTTCAATCTTTTGAAATGAAACGGTGGAGTTCATCTTGTCATATTCTAGTTTCAGATAGTATGTTCCATTTAGTAAAGAGTCGTATTTTTCTTGAAATTCCCAATAATATTTGTTCATTTGAGTTTGAAAGTCATCTAGAGTTTTCTCAAGACTTTCGTCTGAACGAACTGTAAAGATTCTCATTTCGGCAAATTTGTCTATTAGACCATCAGGACCTTTATACTGCCCATGAAAATATACTGCGAACATAAATGCGTTAGTTCTATTTGAAAACAAAACTCTTCTAAATCCTATTGCCTTTGCATCTGAAGGACTTTGAAGCCAACGAATTGGATAGTCAAACCTGTATGCTCGGGATGAAATTTCTTCATCTGAAATAGTCCTACCAGCATTTGTAAAGATATAGTCTAACGGTTTTGTATCTGCTACTTTTGTTCTTTGTTTTTCAACCTGAAGCATTTAATATATGTAAAAATATATTGTTTTAAAATGGTATGCCATTTCATATTTTCATCTAACAAACAAGTTTCCCAACGGTCTTCTCCAACAAACTCAGCGTACATTTCAAATAAAATAAAAATGTCACTTTTTTTAAAATAAATTTTTTATTTCATGCAATGTTTTATTTCTGTGCCGTCTTCAAGTATGCCCCAGGACTTACGCTTGGAGAGGACATGAACTTCGGAAAATACCTTATCTAGCTTAAAACAGCCCATCTTTTCACCGACCATTCCCATTTCAATGAGTTTGTTGTATCCTTCTTCGTTCGTCATGAGTGCGTCAATGTTCTCATAGTAAACCTTCACTTTGGATTTGACTTCGGAGAAGAATTTGTTGTAGTTGTCAAGGACTGCCTTTGCGAACTGAGGGTAAGACCAATGTTCGACAATAGGTTTTAATGTGGTTACTAAGCCACTTTGACCTTGAGTGAATTCGTACTTCAAAACAAAAGGAGAAAACCTTTCAACAAAGTTGTCGACCTTCTCATAATGTTTACTCTTCATCTCTTGAGGTTTCTTAATGGAATATCCCCATGTCGAATTCATAAGCAATTTGAGTGTCATTGCAAGTTTGGGGTTTGAAGCTTTCCTAATATCATACAGTTGTTGTATGACTTTTCCAACTGTCTAGTTCCTTCCCGGGAACTCATCATCTTCGTTTGGAATTCCAGTCGGAATATATTGGACAAACCTCATGTATGCAGCGTTAAGGTCGACATAGTATATCTTTTCGTTTGAGTCGAACTTGTCGCAACCAATTGGTCCAGTTTGTGGAAATTCAAGTGAGTCTCTTATCTTCTGAGAAACTTCTCCTGTTATCTCATAAACATCGTCGAAGCAACCTGTTTCATATAAAACCTTCTGACCTAACTCAGATGCTCTCCAATACAATTTGACGTCAATTGGATGTCTCAATGGAAGTTTGTTTATAGCATCTTGAAGTTCTTGCAACCTCATTGGAAGTTCTTCTGGTTCAGGTTGGTATCCGAACATACCAACCCCTTGTGGAACTGTGTACTTCTTTTGTACTAGAACTTTGTCTGGAACAACTTTTGGTCTTGCTAACAATGAAAAGTTTGTTTCGTCTTTTGGTACAAAACTTTCTGTAAGCTTGTCATCTGGAATTGGTTCCAACAAACCTTTCTCGAAAAGAATGTTTACAGCTCTGACAATGTTGCACTTACTTTTACCAAAGAATGGGTTTGTAAGACTTTCGTTCAACATGAAGTGGTTGTGGACAATTACAATCTTCAACCATGGTAAGTCTTTGTCAACAACATAGTCGTCATGTGAAGAACCTTTAGCTGTAGGTATGTTGACTCGGATATTGACATTTGCCAACGGTGCAATTTTTGCCAATTGACCTCTGAGAATGTACCTTGTCTTCACACATGACTCAAGATACTTCATCTTTTCATCTGAAACAAGACCAGAGTTCCTGAGACATGTAAGAATGCAAGGTTCATTGACAATTGTTTCAATTGAATTGTAAATTCCATACCTTGTCAAGTCAATGTCAGACTTATTTATGAACGGGAAGTATCCAGCATGTTGTCTGACTGCTTGAGGGTTAGGTTGGTACCATTCGAACTTGACACTTGCAATTCCTTCAATTGCATTCAAAATGTCTGAGTCGGAGTCAACCATTTGTTCTCTCTTTGTAGTCTTGAAAGCGTCAAGAAGTTTTGCGGCTGTTTGTTCATTGCCATGTGCATAGTAAATGTGACCATCCAAATCTGTTATGGTCAATCTGAGATTGTGTCCTTTCTTATTTCCGTCTTGAATTGCAGCAAGTACTCCCATGAAGCCTTCTTTGTTCTTTCCTTCGTCAAAGTTTACTGTAAAGGTTCGACCAGATGTAATTTGACTTCTAACTTCACGATACTTTTCATATGCATATCTTGTTCTTTCCATGGGAGCATGTGCGTCTTCACCTTTTCCTTTTTTCCTTCTCAAAGGATGCAATTGTTCGTCATGTTTCCAGTAGAATCTGGCAAAGCCGTCGTGTCCTTCAACTTGAGGTTCACTAACATCGAAAGGCATGTCCATAAGACGTTCTTCTTCTAACCTCTCTAGTCTGTTTGGATAATTGGCACGTGCTGTTTCCAAATCCATTTCGTAGCGAAGACCAGACAATTTGTCATAGACTTTTATTGGCTTTCCCTTCCTATATTTAAAATTCTTCGAAACTCTCCAACCATATCTTTGCAACTCTACTTTTATTCTAGCAGACTTTCTATCCATTCTATATGGGGGCATTTTTATAAAAATAAAAAAATATGTTTTTTTTCTTTACTTTACATAACCGCCTGCTGCCATGAGTCTTTGACGCCAACCCATACCAGCTAATGAAGGTTGACTTGGTTTAGTTTGGAAACTAAACTTTGGTTTTGGTTTATCTTCAGTTTTTGGTTTCTCTTCTTCTATCGGTTTTTCGTCACTTTTCGGTTCCTCTGACTTTACTTCACTTGCAGGAACAGTTGTGTCGTCAACATCTTCATAAATATCATATGCCATTTGTTTTTGTTTTCCTTTCAACTTTTTGTGTTTGTTGTAAAGTTTAGAATATTTCGACTCTAAGTCAATGAGATGTTCTATAATGAACTGTTGGTCAGTGAAGTAAACTTTTCCATCTATTGTCTCGAAAGCTCCTTCAGACTTCAATATTTTATTTGTGAGAGTCTGTTTCTTTTTTGAGATACTAGCCGTTCCATTTCTATGAAAAGTGACTTTATAGTTAGGGTTTGTATTTCCAGACCTGGCACTTTCTATTATTGAATTTTTCTCTTCATCTGTAAGTTCTTTGACAGGTTTTGACAATGGTTCTGAACTTTTTGTTTGTGGTGTCAAATCTACCGTTTCAACTTCTTTGGTCATTTCATCTCAGTAAAAAATTTTAGTTTGGTTTGTTTTCAACTGGTTGTTGTTGTGGAGGTGGGATGGTTCCTTTAATAATATCATTCAGTTTCACATGCTGAGCCTGACTATATGGTATCGGTTTAAATGCTGGAAGCCGACAAATCCATCTTGAACTCATTTGTCTCAATGCTGCATTGTTCATTTCATCTCAATAAAAAACTTTACATTCCCCACGTTTGAGGCGGTTGAGGTTGGTTATTGTTTACCCACTGTTGTGCATGGTTATATCCTCTGTTAAAGAATCTTTCACCTTGGTCCATATAGTGTCCTGCTTGGTTATAGTAGTCATTTGCTTTGTTATAATAATTTCCTGCTTGTCTTCCTACATTGTCCATCCATCCTTGAACTTTTCCTCTTGTTTCAGGATTTGGAATAAGATTTGTTGCATCTCGTGCTACAGCCCAACCTTTCTGTACAGTTTGTATAATAGGTTGTGCTTTCTCTTTAAGTATACCTAATGTACTCAAAATCTTCCTTCCAACTCCAAATACACCTCTGGCTATTGTTCCCACTGCGGGCAAAAATCTGGATGCAACTCCTGCTAATGCGCCAAATAAACCCATTTCTTATAGGGTAAAAAATGACGAATCCGAACAAGGACCCCTATGTTTCTAAAGCGACAAAGAAAGCACTCATGATAAAAATCTTTAGTTCAACACCAAATGCTTGGTTTAAGGATATCTTGGAAAACATTCCGAGAGTTAGAACAGATGGACCTCCATACTGGTTAATATTTGTTGGTCAAAACACAAGATACTGTGAAGCCATACCATTATGGTCCAAAAATATTTTAGATGTGAAAACTGCTTTGACAATATTCGTTGACAAATACCATCCAACAAAACTGACATCTGACTGTGAAAGTTCTTTCAAATCAGATGATGTAAAAAACTATCTGCGTTCAAAAAATGTAAACCAATATTTCATTGTCGACCAAAACCATTCTGCTCTTGGTGTCATTGACGGTTGTATAAAAATGTTAAGAGACTTAAACCAACCACAAGGTGGTGAAGCAAATGAAATGTCATATGACGACAAATATAGACACTTCTCCATGGCAAAGATGAGACAAGTTTTAAATATTTACAATAACCGTAAACAAAAAGGTTTGGGAAACCACTCCCCGAAGAAATGAAAACAACCCTGACTTAGAGAAAGACTATATATTTAATAATTTAGTCAAAAGAGACAAACAAGAAAGAATGCCGGGCTTCAAACTTCAGAAAGGTGACAAAGTAAAAATAGAAATACCTAAACGCGACCCATATGAAAATACTATTGACTATGACAACAATGGGAACCCGACAGGTACTCACATTCGTGTTCGTAAAAATAGAAGAAAGTATACAAGAGAATATTATGAAGTTTTAGGCAAACATGGCAAAATGTACACACTGCAAGCAGAAGAAAAACTACTATTGTCAGACCTCGTTTCAAACTTGTCAAAGTTCAAGGTGGTATACTTTCAAAGACAGTTCCTAACAAATATAAGACAACTCCTGACGAATATGCTAAAGAAGTTGAAAATGACGACTAAGCAATTCTATACCATGCGTAAACTGTCATGTAAGGTGGCATGTATTCTTTACTTTGTCCCGTTGTTTGCGTATATCCTGAAACGAAATGTGTATGGTTTCCTTCTCCCTGAGTGTCACTCCAATAACAATTTATAGCAAACTTAACGTCGTCTTTAACATCATATCCTTTACCTTTTGTCATTCCTGACCAATCCCAATATCTATGCTTATGCCAACCTGCTTGAGATGTACTTAAATCTATGTAATGACTGTGTGCAGGTAAATTTTCACCTGAAATCGTTTTACTTCCACCCGTTTCCTTTGAAGAGTTTGCACAATACAAAAACCTGTCGACTATTTGTTCCCATGCACCAACACCAAACATTACTTGAGGACCTCTTGCATCCATAGATGTATAAATAGAACCTACTGGGTTCATTAAATCAAACATATGAGATATTATAGGATTGTCTCTTTTGAACTTAAAATATAGTGCAACTATTTCAGGTTTCTTCTGGTTTGTGTCAGAATATTTTTTATAATATAATCTTATGTTTTCAGGGTAGGTAAAATCTTGACTATAATATTTATTTCTGTCATCTGTATAATAATATACTATTCTCGTTTTTTCTATTGTATTATATCTTTTATATCTATAATAATCTAAATATAATGTTAGCTTTTGTTCATCTACACGTGGTGTTCTGTCGTCATCTCCATAGTCATAATAATGTGGTGCTGGAGCTGGGTCAGGCAATGTCATATCTGCCATTTCATAAACTCTTAAATATTTCTTTTGTTCGTCTCCATATAAGTTTAAGTAGCAGTTGTTGTCTAATGGAACTTTAACTTGTGTACCATCATTCTTTTTATAGCTTACATACATTTCATTGTTATTTTTCGGAATGAGTTTATACCGTGTACCATTTTCTAAGGACTGTACCAACTGCCATCTAAAATATTTATTTTCTTCATTGACAGAAAAGTCACCAACAATAGTTTCAATATTTTTTGTTCCTATCAAACTTTGGTATATTTCATTGACATATGTTTTATCTGCTTTATTTTCAAGGCTAACGTTTAAGTCTGTTATTTCAGAAGATGTATGTGTATGTCCAACGGCACTTT